TGCGCACATATTTTATACTCATTAGCTGCTACTACAGTTAAAATTGACATAGAGCTAAGTACAATACATAAAGTATGTATGTATAGACAATTAAGAGCACAAATTATGAATACAGTTACAGCATACGGGGAAAATAATTCACATATTTTTTTCTTTTTATAAAATAACAGAATGCATGAGGAATGTAGTTTTTGTATTTGTAGATTTCAGTTAGTTGCGCATGCACTGTGTCATAAAATTATTAAAATTCGCATAAAATTTTATCTTTCGCTGCATACACACTCGTTTCAAGGTAACATATTTAATTTCCATTATAAAAAATAGAAAATTACTTATAGAGGTTAAATATGTCGCACTTATGCAAAAGAATCACATAAAATTAAATGAAATAAAATAAAACTTAATAATAAAAAATGGAATAGAATCACGAAAGAAAATTATATCAAATTAAACTTACGAGTAAATAAAAAAAAATGTATTATATTAACCAAAATGTTTCTTTTAACGGTAAATACTATTCGAAGTGGCTAATCTCACTTCGAAGAATTTAATTTTTTATGTAAGACTTAAGGCCTTAGACAGAAACAAACAAAAAAAATTGTGAATTATTTTTCCTATTGCGTTTGAAAATAAAAATATATTAACAATAACTTTTAATTTTTTTTTGAAATAAAAATTTTTATTCTAAATAAAATAAATTAATATATAACGTAATGAAAAGGAAATTAAAAAAAAAAAACCTTAAATAAATAAACAAACTCGGCATAATAATTTTCATTCCCGAATTACTTACTACAGAGGTTCCTTGATGATAGAAATTTGCAAAAATTGTAACATAACTAATTTTTTTATATAAATAAAGTAGCATACTTAACAGCTGGCAATAAGAAATAACTGCGTTTATCCGACAACTATTTACATGAAGTTTGCCTTTTATCAATATTCCATGAAACAACTAAGAAAACAACTTGTATTTAAATTGTTTTAAACAAATCCAATATATATTTCGTGTTTTTTTTTTTTCTTAGAGGAATTTAGCACACTACAACGCTTACATATATACACATAATTTTACACTGAACATTCTTACATGCTAAACATTTAATGGAATTTCTTTCGATTTTTTTTTTAATTTTTTTTGCGTACCAAATTTGTTTTGTATTAAATTTTTCATCAACCGAATTTTATAAAAATTTATTTTTCTTTTTATATCCTACAACGTATAACAAGAACATACACGTACGTTCAGTGATTCTTTTTTGTACACGCACATACATATAATAATTACATATATTTATTGTATTACTCATTGTATATGTGTATAATATTTAATAACAATATATGTTTTGCATTATTTAATTGGTGTATATCTTGTATTATTGTATTATATTTTTTTCACACAAAGTACATAAATACATATACATACATATATGTAATGTGTGCATACTATGTACTTACGATATCTAGTTTCGCTATATCGTAAGATAACTGTTTTCTATGTGTCTAATGCGTTTCGAGTTCGTTTACATTTTCTGTAAATATTCTTCAACGATTTTCGATTTTATTTTGGTCATAATCGCAGTGTTTTTGTTATTTACTGATTATCGCTTTCAGTTTTTAGCTACTTAAAAATTACAAAAAAAAAAAATTGCACTGGCTAAAATAATATATGTATTTATGTAATATCATTAAATAAGGCATTATATTGCGTATGTGTATATTTTTCATAAATAGTGCAATACATACTAATTAATTATAACGAATTTTTGTTTTGAGATAAATATATTTTTTTTATATTTTTTCTAAGGGTTTTAAGCTAAATCAACACAATGGCTGCCTTTTTTAACAATAATTTTGTATAATTGTAATAAACTAAATAAATTTTATTAAGCTATCGATTGTAAATTACGCAACATTTCTTTGATTGTAATTTTAGCATTTTGAATGAAATAGGCACCATGGATGAATGAAAAAAAAAGTGAAATAGCCTCAGCAAAGACTATTAAAACAAAATGAAATAAAACATAATAAAACATTTAAAAGACTTAAATTAAATAAGAAAATTTAAATGAAACAAAGTAGTTTTAATTAAAGCAAAGTAAAATAAAATTGAAATTTAAATAAATTAAAAAAAATAAACAAAGAATTAAATGATTAAACTACTAGATAATAAAAAACTATAATGTAAATTTTGAATTCAATAAATGCAAAATATAATGAAATAAGATAAAGAAAAACTAAAATAAAATAAAATAAAATAAAATAAAATGAAATGAAACAAATAATTTTAAATAAAAAATAGATTAAATTTAGCGAAGTTCAGATAAAATGGAGTATAAAGTAATCAATTTTTTTTTCACAATATTTCAACACTGGACACTATGCTTAAGGAGCACACCTACAGGCATATTCTCACTGTTACCGGTAAAGTAAATTTTTGTTACTTTTACTAACATCAGAAATTGAATTTGGTATTCTGTCGAACTGGTTACAATGTTTGAAAAAAAATTTGGCAGCACTGCTTTTTTCGTCCATGTCAAATTACATTTGCCAGTTGATAAAGTAAAAAAGAAGAATATTCACATCAAAACGGAAAACGGTGCACAAAAAAATTAAAATTTTTTTATTAATTTGTTTATTAAATCTTAAATATTTGAACCTCATTATGGAAAATATGCCTGGATAACAAAAAAAAGCTGAATGAAAACTTTATTTTACAAGCTACAGGGCTATTTTTTGTCTCGAAAACTTTTTAAAATATGGCTTTTTGGACTTTTATCTTCATCTTCAAGGAAATTCCAGGGCTAAAATATGCCCACCCATTTTGGTTTTTATTTTTTTAAAACTAACAACACAAAATCAAACAGCAATTATTTTTGTTACCTCCTATTTCACTGGTAACAAAATTTACAGAATAACACTGAGCTCAGAATACGAAATGGTAACAAAATCTGCTGAATGGTAAATTTTAATTCCTAGGTAAATTTTGTTGCCTGCTGGTGAGAAATATAAAAAAAAAATCGATCTTTTCATATTTCAGTAGATTACACCTTTAAAAATAACATATTAAAATTTCAAATCGATATCTCAAATAGTTTTTGAGTTATATCAATTTAAAGAGCAGCCGCTCGGCAGCTAGAGAGTCTCATTAGCTACTAGTGAAAACGATCATTTTATTTTTAAACGCGTTTTTTCCGAAACAACATTTTTCGAATTTGCTGCAGTGATTACTCAATCCAACTCCGATCACTATCGAATTTTTTTGCATGTTCTATATATAGTACTCCGCACAATGACCTATCGATTTTTGATCTGATCAAAAAATCGAATTTTGGCAGGCCAAAAACGACCAAAAATTTTGGATAAAATTCGACTATAGTCAATTTTTGATTTTTTTTATCGTAGGTCATTGTACAGACAATATTATCTGGCAGAAAATTTTGTTTTTTATATTTCATCCACGGAGAAGGCCGGTATCACTGCAGCAGTGAAGGACCTTTTTTTCGCGCCATTGGAGATCGGCAATAACTTAAAAAATATTTAATTTTTTTCTTCAAAAATTTCACTGTATATTCTTGAAACATGTATAAATATATTTTTAAAATTTTGAAATGATTGATAAAGTATTTTTTTTTAATAAAAATTCTCAAAAATCACCTTTTTTTTAGGCCATTACACTAGGTGTGCCCCTTAAGTGCTGCCAAAATAAAATAAAATAAAACCCGTTGTTCCCTGATCACAGTACATAAGCGGGCGGAAAGTTTAAAAATGTAGAAAATATCTAACAGCAAATTTTTGTAGCTAATTTTTCGGCTAATCCTTGAACGCAGTTATTCGATAAGTAACATAAAGTATTGAGAAATTATAAAATAATTTGGTGAATATGATGAAGAGCAAGGCAGGATACTCTGCCCTTTTGAATTACGAAAAAAAATGCAAAATAAAAGTTCTTCTTCTTTTAAATCGCTATGTTGCTTAAGAGTGTGATAACAAAGCATTTTATAGAAGCTTTTGTCAGATGTTGAGTACATAATTTTCGAGTGCTGAATTTGCTGAGTTTTAATATATATTTTTCCTTATTATTTAAAAAAAAAATTTTAATAGCAAAAAGAATACCTCCACAAGGGCGGAATAATATAACGACAAAAAAAGATAACAACCATAAAATTTGAATTCAATACAATTGAGTATGCTGTCTGTAGACATGTGAGTCGACACACACAGATTGATGCTTGAGTAATCTAGTTTAGTCATAAGGATAACTCGGCTAAGTGAAATTTGAGCGTACCTTTTATAAAAGCATTATCCCTAAACGCGAGTTAATTTTTATGTGTGTATATGCGTGTGCTTGTATTTTTAAATGGAATGCACTCGTTTTAGGTGAAAGGTGTATGTATGTATTACTTTTTTCATGGTATGCATTTGAGTATATTCGTACACGCTTTTGCGTCTCTGCTGTTGCGCAATACGAATTTTTCTAATATAAATCTCTGACTCGTTCATAAACGTATTAATCACAATAGATATTTTGATATTTTAATGATAATATATCTAAATTATTTCTTCCGATTCACCTTTTGCTATTTATATTGGTGGTTACAGCGCAAATGGATATCTCATTTTAACTCTTGTCTTTATTTTAATTTTTAATTAATTTGTGTATTTAATTTTTTTTTAATTACCTTCGATTTTTTTTTTAATTTTTGGGCTTTAATTTTATATTTTTTTAATTTCTTATATTATTATTTAATTTTAATTTTTTATATTTATATTTTTATTTTAATTGAGCACTTTAATTTAAATTTATATTTTGTTTTTTATTTATTTAGTTCAAATTTTTTTTCTTGACTTCATATTTTCATATTTATAAAACATTTTTTTTTATTTTTGTTTGTATTTTAATTTGCTTTGTTTAGTTTAGTTATTATTTTCATTTTATATTTTATTTATATTTTTTTTTGTTCAATTGTTGTATATTTATCTGTTAATTAAATCTTAAATTTCTGAAGAAAAGCGATTTATTTTTGAATTTTTAAAATAGAACGTAGACAATTAGCCAATTTTGGTTCTAATATTTTAAGGTTAGAGTGCATACTGAAACATTTTGCTTTAAAAATTAATTCTAATTATAAATAAATCCTCACAATTACGGTTAAGGTGAAGAAAGTCTGCAAAACAGAAGACTATAGCCACATTACTGTCAAAAGAAGAGTTGAGAGTCCGAAGTCCCGAGTACTGGTATAGGCACGCAATTGAGAAGAAGAAGGAGGTAGTTGAAAATTTCACCCACTAGGAGCCGCTGGCATCGAGTTATTACTAAAAATCACCATTATATATTACAGAGCAAATCCAGCAAAAATTGTAATGACGTTGCCAGCACCAACCACTTCCTTCTTTCAGTTAATTAGAAATAAATTTGAGGTTAGACTAACCATTTGCGCTGCATGATTTCTTATACTTTCATACAACCTATTCTACATATGTATATGCATGTATGTATAAACGCTTTGTGTATAACTAACATTCGCTTTTCACTAAAAAAAAAAACAACTACGTATGTATATAGTATGCTTGTAAATCTATACAATATGCAAAATGTTTATTACTACTACATGTACACATACTTACGTGTATGTATGTTTTACTACATATACTCATATATGCTTTTAAATCAGTGTTATATACTTGCAGCCTAATTTTCATTTGGTGTATAAAATATTTCAAGCCCTTGGAATATATTAACTTTACACATACATACAGTATATTTTCATATTAATTTCATTATTGGTAAATGGAATGACATTTATTCTAGGCTATTTTACTTAACCACAACAACACAGCAATAACAGTTGCATTTTCTAAAATAAAATAAAAAAAAAAACACAAGGAAAATATTTGCTGTTTGAAGGTTATGTATTGTGTTCATTTACTATTTACTATTTACTATTTTCTGTCTCATTCGAGTTTTTCATATTTTTCGTTATGGTAAGCATTTCACTGGAAGTTCGCTTAATTATTTATTCTCTTTGGAAGCTTATGTTTGTATGCAGTTTTGGAATTAATATTCCATAGTATTTTGTGTCTAAAAAGCGCGCCATGGCATTTATATATTATATGTATATAAATACTCGTATGTATACATATGTGGGTTGTATAACATCTTTAGTAACGGTTCTTATTTTTTCATTTTTACCTTTCTTAAGCAGCTAACTCATATTTACGACATTTTTCCTATGAATTTCTTTCAGTATGTTTGTCTCAGTAACGGTGTTTTCACTACTACATAATTCATGCTGTTCTGTTCTTAGTATATTGTAAGGGTGGTCCTTATTTGTGTGTAGAGACAAGTGCTCGGAGTTTAATCTTTGTTCCGGAATTGGGCACAGTCACTAAAAAATTGAATCGAAATTTGAAATTCTTTACAGTTAAACTTTTTTCATGTGTACTGGAAATGGGTTCCGAAATTTAAAAATGGTCTAAGCATTTTCCCGGTTTCCTTTTCTATGATATTTCTATAATATTCGAACTCCTTTCTAATATCTAATTGAACGCTCTTATGCGGGTATTTTCCAAATCAATCGGTTTAAGTTGACACGAAAAAATTTTAGTTAAAAAATTTCATCTTGGAAAATCATTGACGCCTTCCCAAGGATTTTTTTTAAATTCTATAACTGAAATAGGTATATAATGAATTAGAGAATAAAGAGACGTTGCGACTTTGCTGCTGGAATCGGAAGTTTTGAGAACCCGGGTTTTGCAGTTTGGTTGCTCCGAAATGATGTCGCCGTTATACTTTTATAAAGCTTGGATCTCGACATTGCATTGGGGTTAATATTACCGAGAATGTGAAGAACTAAATTTAGAAGGTTTTCAAATTCTTTTTAAAAATGTGATTCACTGGAAAAGTTTTGACTTCAGCCCGGGAATGCATTACAAACTGAAAATAATTTTGATAAAGCAGCATTTCCTACATTTTGGGCCCCCCTTAGGCCAGTTAACTGTGCCATTAGGCGTATCACGGTCTTGCAGTTGCTTCAAATTTATGTTGCTTTTGCAAATTATTCTTGAGGTCTAGCAGAGGCTGAAGTCCTTCCATTTCTACCTACGATACTCTTGTAATGGCTAAAAGCCGAGTGAATTGCAAAAGATAAGTTCGATACCGTGTCTTGGTCAGTTAAGTACAACTTGAGTCTAGTTCAGAGCTAATTTAGTGTAGACTGGATCACTTGGAATACAGTTCGGGAAGAACTCAACATTATTTTTACAAAATCCTGGTTTTTTGAAATGGTTAATGGATTATTATGATTTCGGGTCACTTCAGTACTATTTCATTCTTGCGTTGAGACCGGGAAACTTAACACTTTTCAACAAATACAATTTAAGAGCCACCCTAAGGCGTCAGTGTGAGTGTGTTTATGTTAATGTTTTTTGAAGTTTTTGTGTGCATGAGTGATATATCTATGTGTGTGGGCACTTGATTTCTTTCTTTTAAAACTCAAACTATTTTTTCCCTTTATCAAAGTTAATTTTTTGGTATCTATGCATTAATACGCGTAACCTGCCCCGCGCCCAGCGTCGGAGGAGGAATATTAGTAGTTGCTTCTGTTGTTGTGGAAGTGCCTTGAGATTCTTCAACTCCCTCGCCGCGCATGCCGATGTCTTAGTCGTTGTCATTTTCACTCTTCCTGTGCTTGCTATCATCGTCGAGAGCAGCCATTTGCCTTTGGGCTGAACCAATAATTATCTACTATCCTCATTATCACTGGAACTGTTTTGATTTTGAGCTTCGCGCTCCTCCAGCAGGCTACGATTTAACTCCTGAATGCGTGCGGAGAGTGCGCGTCGGCGTGGCGTGCTGAACGTTGGCGGTGGCGGCTGTTCGATGAGGGTGTTCTTCTCTCCTGTTTTTTGGTCGTTTGTTATTTTCATTTCGGACAGGCGCGTGGAGCAATCAAGCGGTTTCCCGCCAGTTGCGTTGACCAGCAGGTGACAGATGTCGTACGCGTGTATGTTCGGTGTGTCGCAGGTGTTGTGTTGTTTTTGCCGTCACGTCAAGTGTGAAAAGTGCCATATGATTGCATGAGAGTCGGCAGTTTTCAAAGTAGTTCGTGTTTTTTGTTTTTTTTTTTTTGTTTTTTTGGTGAAATTTATTTACAATTTGTCGGGTTTTGGTTTTTTAATGAGGCGTTCGCAACGTAAAATGGCATTTGATTTGTCATGTGTTTTGGTGAGACATTTTTTTATTGTTTGTTTCAAATTTTGGTGGTAGCGGTGTTTGCATGTAGTAATTGTTGCGATTGTTGTTGGTGTGTGATATACATTATATAGTAATATTTGTTATATAATTTTATTGCAATGAGCGTTATGATGAGTTGATGATTTGTACCGCAGGCGGTTGAACAAAAGTGAGCAATTTTTTTTTGTAGTTTTGGCGTAGAGAGTGAGAGAGGAAAGAGAAAAGAGAGAAGATTTTACAGTTTTTTTAAGTGAAATATTAACTGTTTTTTTATTTTTTTTTTTAGCAATAAACATTAATTTTTGAATTTAACTTGATTTTCACTAAAAGAGTATGTGAATGTGTATTTTAACTAGTTACATTAATTAAAGATTTTATGAATCAATAAAATATTTTTCAACCAGTTGGTTGTACTTTTTATCTATGGAATACAACTAAGAGAGAGAGAGAGAGAGGGAGAGAGAGGAGCAGTTTAAGCAAAGTGACAGCGTGTTGTGTGGATTTTAAGCAATTCCGCACTATTTCCTCAATCCCTTCAAAAATTTCTTCTACGGGGTTCTAAAATCCTAAAAAAACTTAACCCGCTGCAGCTGATCAAATTTGAAATAAAGCTTATAACCAAATACAGGAACACTTATTGCTCGACTTTCGTGTCGAAGTGATTCAATAATCTTTGTTCAAATCTACACAAAGGGAAATACCAAAACATCACATTTGAACAAATCAGATGTATGGGAGATATGTATGAGATATAGCTCTCAGATTTTGATTATTTTCGATGCCAATGTTAACTTGTATATATGTGCATAGGAGGCAAAATTTCATACTCTTCTTTGATTTTTAGACAAATTTTAGACAAGAACCTCATATCTGAAAAAATCAGTTGTGTAGAACTTCCTGTGAAAAAATTTATTTCTTACTCTTAGATAAACAGACAGACATGGCAAAATCAATTCAACTCGTCATTCTGACCCGATCGGTATACGTTTTGATGGGTCAAACTCTTCTTCTTCGAACCAAAGTTAATAATATACCATTCACGTACAGGAAAGGTATACGAATATTTAAGGTTGGAATACCGGAAATGTGTTTAAAAAAGGTTTGAGTATAAATATTTGTTAAAGCTTTGTTTTTGGTTTTAAAATTGTAGTTAAATAAAACCAAGGCATTTTACGCGTTGTCTAAATGCTACATAGTGAGGTACTCTACTGCTACATAAATGAACTAGTATACTATGTACAGAAGAACAAAGTGATATTTATATATTTATATTCTTCAGTTGAAGCGGGTTAATTCGAAAATAGATCTATTTTTTTATAAGAGAATATATATGTACATGTATATGTAAAAACGACGCAAAATCTCCATAAAAGTGTCTACAATCATTTGGAACTGCAAATCTATAATGATCATCATGCAAAAATCTAGTTGAAAATTTTAGAAAAAATGCTATCAAAAAAATTTAACTACATACTATATTTTTTTTTAATGTTGTATTAATTTTGGAACAAATTTCGGGCCAATGTAATTTTTTTAAATTAAATTCGCATTTTCATAATAAAATTTATTATGTATTAGATTAATTTAATTTGAATACAATGAAAAAATTATTATTAAGACATTCTAAATTTATACGTAAATTTTTGTTTTTATTTTTTACTATAAAGATGTTATTTACTTTTTTGTAAGACAAAATGTTTTAAAAATAACTTCAAGCCAATCTCAACTACTCACTCATACATAGAATACTTAAAAATATTTATGTAAATATTAAACCCAATAAAATTCAGCACTAGAAAATCGCATACTTTCATCACCTATTGCAGGGGTTATGCAAATGAACGTTGGTGTAAATATCGCATACCCACATAAAATGATTACCGCTATTGTCATATCTCACTCTTACGAGTACCAACTAAACAAATAGTAATTGTACAAGGCGCAAAACGAATACGGAGGAAATTGAAAAATAAAAATGAAACTGTAATAATACCGTTATAACCGCTCTAGTTGTTTTTGTTTTTTGAAAATAAAATATTAACGAATTTTATGAGCTGCCTGCAAAACGCAAATAAAATATGCAGACACGCAACGCAAACGAACTGGGAAATACTCGTAATGGTAAAAAAAAAAATAAAATAAAAATTTAGAGCAAATTTGTAAGCAGAAAATGTCCAATAATGCCACGCAATGAACAAAAAAAATTATATAAAGTATTTTCAATAATATTTTTCATATTGGATGAGTGCATAAGTTCTTTCAGCGCTACTCTCAAACGATTCGATCGGCATCCAGCGGAATCGGGCACGAACTTATGCACTCATCAATATACTAACTCATTTCTAACGTTTGTTTGCCTTTCTTTACTTTTCAGCAATTTTTACATATAATTTTTATATTCTAAGAACTCATATGCCTAAACTAATATATTTATTGCAATTAAAAATATGTATACATATATTAATACTCATGTATATTTAATAAAAAAAAAGGTTTATTGTGTTGTGTTTTGCGTGATTTAAGTGTTATTTACAGCAGCAACAGGATCCCAGGTGTTCAACAGCAAATTGATTTCCGTGTACAATTTGTTAGTGTTCCATAGTTTTCTCCAAAATATATATATATGTATATATCTAAATATATGTATATATGTTTTGTTTTATATTTACATAATATTTGTTGTATTATATATAACGAGTGTGTAAATATTGCTTACAAAAAAATGTGTGCAAAAATGAGTTAGTCTCTTTTGATCCATAAATCTCTGTGGTAGAGTGGCAAATATTCCATAAAATCGATGGTCTATTGAAAATGGAGTGATTCTATAGGAATTGATCTTATATATTGACATTTTTTAAGAGTTTTCTTTATTGAATTCTTTTGAGTTAAAGGCCAAAGGCTTTCCAAATCCTTCAACAATTGTTACCAGTCACTATCTCTGGCTCTTACTGATATTATTGAGTGAAGGATTTTGCGTAAGATTTCTGCTCCTTTGCGCATTGGCAATGACGAGTATCACATTCGTTGAAACGTTGAGCTGTACGAGATATACGGCGACATAAGCGAAGTTCAGCGAATCAGCTAGGTCAAATGGCTCGGATGGAAGAGAACACTCCCGCCGGCAAGGAGGGAGGGAGCAGGACATGACTACATTTGGTATTTCGAATTGGCGTCAAACAGGGAATAGAAGGAAAGAACGGCGGACTTTCGTAACGCGGATATAACCGCAAAGGTGGTTTCTAGACCAGTAAAGTAGAAGAAGATATTCGTGTAATCGAAAATATAAAGGTTGGCAGCACTGCCAAGCGAAAATTCGATAGATGGTCTAATGAAGTCCAGTGTAGAACGGGAAGGAATCAGCTATTTTCCACAGAGCGGTAATAATAATCTGTTTAAATAAATATCATTGAATGCTTCTACATTAAATTATAAAAAACTATTTCGATTTCTGAAAATTATTTGTTTTTGTAATACTGTTCAACAAATATTTTATAAAATCCAAAAATTCAACAAAATTTTTTACTTCATAATTTTGAAATTTTTGTAATTTTTGTAATTTTTATACATACTCGTACATATACATATGTATATAAGATTGAAAATGATTCTATTTACGGCTGCTGGCGTGAGTGGTAAGTTTACAGTGTTCACTTCTGATAATTAATCAATCAAAATTGTTATTCATAAATATTGATTATGTGTGGTTATGTACAAGTGTATGTAACTGTTAGATTAATTTGAGCTATGAATACATTTGCGAATTTCAAAATTTACGTGTTCTTGTTGTTGTTTGAAGCACCATATAATATAACAAATTTTTGTTGTTTTACTTGGCTACGCTTGTACAAAGCTCAACATTAAGGTAGGCGGTAAGAAGAAGAGTTGTGAAAACAAATTTACTTGAATTATTTCGTATGTTTGTATGTATGTATTCACCTGCGATTATAGCGCTCAGCGGTTGCTTTGCTACATTTGGCGCTTTTTGATTTTTACCTTTCGGATGTACGACATTTGTTTGTTTGCCTACAAGATATACACACACACATATATATATATATATAAATATTTGAATTTACTGAATACTGTTAAATATGTAGGTATTAGGTTTATATTGTAATTTTGCCCACTAAAAAGAAAATAAACGTTGCTTTTTTCCAAATACATATGTATGTACATATCTACACGTATGCGGAGTGAATAAATACTGCAGCCTTCGAAGCGTACTTAATTGTCCTGAGTGATGTCATTTGCACTTTAACTACCAACTTCCCGCCGCTCGGGGTGTAATGAACGCAAAAAATGTCAAAAAGAACAAAAAAGTTGTAGAAAAGCATTTTGCACTTGAAACTTAGGTAATTGACGTGGCTGCGATTGCTGTTTGGAAGCGTTGCCGTTTTGCTATTTTTCTCTCTTTTTTTTTTTTTTGCAAAGCTACTTTTTGCTGGCGTTTTTCCGGTCTTTTGCCACTGCTATTGCCAACTCAGTGTTGTTGCTGTTGCGCTCTACACTTGACTACTTATTTACATGATAATATCATTCATTGCTTTATGGTGGACGTGTGCGCGTGTGGGCGTGTGTGCGTGTGTGTTTGTTGTTGTTTCTAATAGTTTTTAGCACTATTTTTGCAGTTTTTCCCTTCCATTAGTTTACCTACTTTATTAGTGTTGGTATCGTTTTCAATTTTATTGTCTTTCTAATAGTAAAATGCTCAGCTTTGGCTTATGACCACATAACACCAACTTAATGCCATGTTAATTCGATACTTAAAGTACAAAAGACATTTGCTTAATTAATCTACTTAGAGTGATTGGTGGGCAGTCATTCGGGCCGCCACAATTCCAAGTGAGTATTTTCCGTCAAGAATTGATTGCTTAAGCACTTGTCCAGCCATTCGAGGGTGTGATGGTGTTTGCATATTTTACGGCGCAAAGGAATTTAATTTGAAGGTTGGAATGTTTACGGTGCAAGAGCTTAATTTGAAAGCGTGTTTGCCATAATAAACATTGGCGTAGTTAAATTGTTTTCAATTTCCGCCAAATTATATTTCCAAAGAACTCCTATAGGAGTAAGCAAGGTTAGTTAGAGCATTTATCTGTGTATGTTGGGATAATTTCACAAAAAAGGCATCATTTCAAGGCGATTACATGTAAAAAGGCGTCTAATAATAAAATATTAATTTGTACGCTACTCGGACGTGGTAGCCGAGTGGTTAACATTATATACTGTCATTTGCAAGGCCAGGTTTCGAGTTATAGAGAATTAATTTAAATAAAAAATGAAGTAAAATTTTCCCAATTGAGGTCGCCCTCGGCAGGGGACGTCAACACCTCCTACAGTTTTTCTGACATGAAAAACCTTCAGGCGTTCGGATGCGGCTTAGCATAAACTGTAGATCCCTCCATTTGTTGGAAAAACATCATCATTCAAATTCAGTGGATCATGGAGGGGCACTTAAGGTCTTGGAGCACTTTCATAGTAGAATGGGCTACTAAATTATTGTGGAACAGCATGTAATGTAGATAGACCAGCACTTACTTACATTAAGCAGAAGAGAACTTAGCATATTTATTAGTGTTTTCAGGGGGAATCTATACCTGAGAGGTCATCTCCTTAAGTTAGGTGAAGGGGAATCGGTTGGGTGTAGAGCATGCACAGAAGATGACAAAACGCTGGAACCTTACCTTTTGCCAGTGTTTGGCCTACAGCGGATTGAGACGTCGCATCTTCCAGGATTCTCTCAGCTCCAACCTCACGAAACTAAAACCGTTCATAAAATCAAGCAAACGCCCCAATAAAAAAATTGAGCACACAGCTTTGGTTTTTATGTTTGCAAATTGTGCGCTGCGTGCAACAATCTTTGGACATAATCGTCCAGCAGAGTCAGTAAACCTAGTGGATAAAGCGCGTCCTCAGGGACGCCGTACAGTGTTCGCCGACGACTGCTGCAGAGGGATCTTGAGTTGAAATCGAACGGCCATCAAGCGCAACGACCGATCCCAATTCTCTTTCTTGGTTGAACGGTTACGTTAATAAAGAAAATTGTCGCATTTAGAGCGAAAATGTTTGTTGTGTTTTATGAGCAGAGACAATCATTGGTATATAGTTCTTTTTGAAAAAGAAGACGGCCATAACGTAACAGTCAATGAGTAATAAGTGGGTATAGAGCCATGATTAACGACTTTTCCGTGCCTGGAGTGGAGGATGTTGATGCGGACGACCTTTAGTTCCAGCGCGACGGCACCAAAGCCATCAAATTATTTAAGGAAACTTTTGGGGATCGCAATATCTAGCGCCGCTGGCCTGTGACGTGGTCTTCAAGATCGAGTGATTTAACACCTCTGAGCTCTTTCTCGTGGAGTTATGTGAAGTGGCTTGTTTAGCCAGATATGGTCGAGACAATTAACGTCTCGGTGGATGGTATTTGACGCGTTATCGGTGACATATGCCTTGAGAGAATTGGCTTGAGCTTATACGAGCCAGCCACGGTGGTTACTTTCATTTACACCCTTTGCATTTTACACCTTTTTGAAAAGCTACATGTCTAAAACAACACCCTTTCCACTAAGGGTATGGTTTCTCAGCCCGACACTTTTAAGGACCATCAGAACGAATTTGTAGCTCTACCAAACGCTTCAATTGCAACTAAATTGCGAAATTAGTTTGAAAGAAATTTTAAAAAAAAAAAAGAAATATTTTTTTTTGTTGTAAGCAATGATTTTGTTATTGTAAAAAGGTATTAGCTGCGTACACAGAATTGTTCGAGTGATTCGAGCGGCTAAGAAACGAAGCAGAAATAACAAAAAAATTTTCTTTCTCATCACCTACCAATTATTACTTTCGTTTATTATTTCTGTTTTTTTTATAATTTGTTTAAGGTCTTATGTGCACTAAAATATATATGTGTTATTTATATATATGTCTAAATTGGCTAGCTAAATACTAATTCAGAAAATGCGCTTAACACTAAAAGGGAAATCAAAATATTGCGTATTCGAGACATAATTATACCCATAGATATTTGTATATGCATATATGTACGTATCGATATATATATATATATAAATACATACATATGTATGTTCTAACTAATATTAATACTAGTGTTTGCTGGCTATTTAAGCTACTTAAGCTATTTAAGCTACTTAAATGCTAAATTTTGTAAAAGCTACTGGTAAAAGTAATTAACAATTCTTTGGAAATTTCTATCATCATCACAGTTTTGGTCTTAATTATTGCTATTTACATAATTGAAACTTTTAGAATTTCGCTGAAATTTAATTTCTTAGTAAACGAAAATTGTAAAAAATTATAATAATTTGGAAATTCAAGAAACGTGTGCATGCGAAATGACCAATTTGCATAATAATGTCGTAATTGTGTAAAATAATTATTTATTCATAGAATAAATTTCAAATATTTGGGCATATGGAATTTCGAAAAGCAATGCAGCGAGAAAATATTTGAAATATTTAAAATAAGTGTAACTATAATATATGAAGGTGAAAGTGTTTTGGTTAAAGCGCACGAACTGAGTTGTAAATAAGCAAAATCAGTTTAAGCAAATTCATTTCAAGGCAGCTACGAAAGAAAAACTATTTGTTTAATATTTTTACATTTTTTTTTTAATTATTATATTTAACTGAACTTTGGCTTTATCATTCTTTATTTCCTTTTTTGTAAATGTTATTGTTGTAAATACGTAATTATGCGGTTATAGGATCTGAGGTGTTAAAGCAAGCCGCAAATAATTTCCATTTATTAAAATGGAATAAAAAAATTTAAAATTCACTAAAATTTTCCAGAAATTTTTTTGTTCATTAAATTATAATAATTATAATAAGAGTTTTATTTAAGTCGATGGGATGGTGTCTTATATAGATATACATATGTATATATAGTGTAAATATAAATTTAGTTTTTTTATTTTATGATTGTTTGTTGTATTTAACGTTTAATTACATGAAAATGTTGTAAATTTTTGACAGCAAAACAACAGAAAATACATACGTACTCTACTATGAACTTGTACGACTCGATGGCGTGTGTATGACATATTATATGTACGTATGAGTTAGTAAGTGTTGGTTGATATGCATATTTAGTATTAAATATTTTGTTTGCTTTTTTATGGTGACAGTAAATGCTTAATTTCAAAATAATAATTTTTAAGCATTTTTTTCAAATATTTTTTTTTTAATTTTCATAAAAATATATATATGTATATAAGTAAATATATGTATATGTACGCACCTGTATCGACAATGACATCAATGAGATCCATCGATTTGGCAAAGGCATCTTTCAAATTGATATGATGAAATGACACAATGCTACCCTCACGTTTCGCCCGATCCAGTGCCTCACGCCGTTTGAGCGCCTTCTCGCGTCGCATCTGATTCTTATAAAATTCAGCAAAATTGTTAACGATGATGGGAATAGGCAAAGCGATTACCAGAACACCGCATATGCAACAAACAGTACCAATAACCTTTCCCAGTGCAGTAGTGGGATAGATGTCCCCGTAGCCAACAGTTGTCATTGTAATACCCGCCCACCAAAATGTTTCCGGTATTGAAACGAATTTTGTATCCTTTTCATCCTTTTCGGCAAAATATGCCAGCGAAGAAAATATGAGAACGCCCATGGCCAGGAACAGCATTAGTAGACCGAGTTCCTTATATGAATTACGTAGGGTAAAGCCTAACGACTGCAGGCCCGTTGAGTGACGGGCCAGCTTAAGGATTCGCAGGATGCGCATGATGCGAAATACTTGCACCACCCGGCGCACATCCTGGAACTGGTCCGTTGCATTCTTATTTGTTTCCAATAAAAAGAGTGAAACAAAATATGGGAGTATTGCCAATAGATCGATTATATTAAGGCCACCCTTAAAGAATTTCCATTTATCCGGCGATGCACTAAACCTAAGTATATATTCTAAGGTGAACCACGATATGCAAACGGCTTCAACCATAGCCAATTGCGGATTATCAGATGGTGTACCATTCTCACTGTGTTGTAGTTGTGGTAGGGTGTTCAACGTCAGGGCTATGGTAGACAGGACTATAAATAGTATGGATATCACTGCGATAACCTGTTGAGTAGATATCAATTTCAATTTTGAATTTCAAATTCAGAATTTTCAGAACTCAGAGAGTAGTACTTTGAATTATTTAATTTTATTAATTTTTGGATTTTTGAAATTTTGAATTTTTGATATTTTGAAATTTTCAATTTTGTTTTTAATTTTTTACTTCTTGGTTTGGGTATCGCATTATGTTTTTGTTGTTTATTTGTTGAGCCAAAACTTTATTGAGAATACGCTAGTTTAAGATTTGTGATAATGCTAAATAAGATTTCTTAAAGTTCTTATATTTAATATAAAAATTAACCTCACAAAAATAACTAACCGCTTAAGAAGAGTCTTAAAAATTAAACAAAAAAGTTAATAATAATTGAAACTAAGAGTTGAGTGTGTTTCAGTTTCGAAGTTAGTCTTGCATGGCAGGAAAGTATTTGAATGTATGGGTTTTTCATACGAAAGCTGAGATTAAAGAGCCGGGCATTTATAATCTCAATAACAGCTTTTCGGTTTTTTAATTAATTTTTAATTTAAGAATTAAGAATGTTGGAGATTATTAGTCTCAAGACCAGTTTTTTCTAATAAATTAGATGAAAAGTATTTTTTTTGTTATATTTGAAGGGATTTCTTCAGTCAAGGCGCTAAAGATCGTTGTTGGTTACTTTGTTGCGAGCCATACAATTTTCATAAGCGTCTATTCGCGAGCTTGTTTCACATCAAACCAGTTCCAATGCATAAATCAAAGCTCAATAGATTTATATTTTATATAGATGCGATTATAAATATTGATTTGAAGTTAGAAGGTGGGACAGGTGTCAGCTATTAAAGTAGTCTATAGTTTGGGAAGTGTGTACAAAGTATGTGAACTAGCTGATGGTGTTGGTAACGTGTATGGTGCAAGGGGGTTGTGGAACATTTTTGAGTCTTTTTTGAAAAGACTTTTTAGCGTGAAACACTCGGATAATGACGTTTGGCAGAAATTAAATTTATGAGTATTGAGAAACTGCTTGGAACTATTTTCTAATTAACAAGCGATATTTGCGCTTAAGTCGCGGGCTAAGCCTTCTTGGCGGCCTAAAAATGTGAGGAAATAGTTAAACTGTGAATTTTTGGCAAAACCTTGACTCTTTTGTGAATCTTTGGTGCAAACACTCAACGCCATAATTAAGTGTCTTGAGACAATTACTTTGAAGGAGTAAGGGATAGCGCATGAAACACATAAACTATAACTAATATGATATATGTATATATGCTAGACTTAAGAGACAGGACAAACTAAACTAAATATAATATTAAAATTAAATTAAAATTATATTGAATAGTGTATTTTAAATAAAAATAAAAATATTTTTTAAATCATTTTTAGCAATAAAAAATTGTTTGAAAATTATTTGGTAGACAATTTTACACAACACAAAAATACAGAAATACAGGAAAACACACATACTTATAAGTACTGAAAGTGGACAGTTAAGAACAGATAAAAAGTATAAAAGAGCGTGAAAACACTGTTCACACGTACATTAGTGGATTTTGTTGTTAAACAATATACATTTCTTTACAAGGAAATACAATTAAACAAATAACTATGTATAAAAGAAAATAATTTTCATTATTAAATTGGAATGTAAAAAAAATTAATTAATGGAAATATTAAATGAAAAATAAAATAAACTGAAAATTCATATAAATAAATATACATACATATTTTTTTTTCTTCAGAATAGAAAATAAAAAAAAATACAGCAATAAAAATAAAAAATTAACAAAAAAGTTTGTTATGTTTTTCAAAGTAGAATATTTGTTTTGAAAGAAAAATTAAATAAATTTTACGTAATTAAAAACAATAAAACACACGTAAAAGTTACGTAATAAAATAATAATTTATAACAAAAATATATTCTTATTTGCATCAAAAATTTGTTAAGCTAACCTGAACTTGCTGCTGCAGCTATTTATTGGTTGTACTGAACAAAGAGAATTTACATAGCATAGTTTTAGGGGCACTACATAAAGACTAATCAGCACAAACTACTAACAGCTTTGGCAGTATATAAGTATGTAAGAGCGGGCTTTTGAGGCTCATGGGTCATATACCAATACATATATACCTACTACTACTGAATGTATGTTTGATTGCTGTGAACTACAATATATATACATATATATAAAGAAAAAGAAAAAACTTAAAATTTGGAACTTTTTGTGTTTTACGTTGGCTATAATTTTTATTTTAAAATTTTTTTTAGTAAAGACTATTTTTATATATATTTTTTACTTGTTTTATTTTTCTTGACTTTCTGTTAATACAACAAACTTTTTCAAGCTTTCAATTGATTTGAGTTAAATTCAAAAAATAATGGTAAAAGATTTAAAAACTCAAAAATATACCGTTAAATACTCTACAGTGTCAGTACTATAAATATTCTACTGCACAGGTCGTCTACACCGGGTTTTTTTTTGAGGGAAAAATTCTCCATGTACTTGTATTAGTATAGCCCTACAGTAAGTTGAATTAAAATTAATTTTTGATGAAGAAATAATTTTGTATCTAAAATTTCTCCACATTTCACCATTAAAAAGACAAAAAGTTCGCTGCAAAATCAAAATGTATCTATTAAAAAACTACTTATCGATAATATCTAAAGCTCTTTGGAAACTGATCGACAACAGCTGTTAAATCGGTGGAGAACGACGATCGGGTCTGCAGTCGAATTTTTCTTTTAATAAGTTAAAAAATTCAATTCACAATTATTTATTTTGTAAATTAGCCCAAAAATATTGGCAGTAAATTTTACATAGGCTTTTGCTAATTATCTAAAACACTTGTACTGTTTTTGTTCTGTATTGTTTGTAAAAAAAAAGTTGTTAAAAAATATTTATATAAAAATTAAGACAAATTAAAAACAAAAATATTTTTTTTAAACTTATTTTGTTTCAAGGTAAAACATTAAAATAAAAGCAACAGAACTGTGGCGCTAAAATTTTAAAGCAAAAAAGTTTTGTTCGTAATTTTTTATACTTTTTTTTTTTTAAAGGCGTGAGTTACTAGGGATTTTTTTGTAAATAAATAAAAAAGCTCTCCAATATTGTATAAATCGTGTGGCATTTGCAAGAATTTTTTACCAATTTGACACACTTTTTATAATTATTATTTTTTTTTTCAAAACTGTAAGCGATTTTTTACCAATTAAAACGATCAATTACAACTACAAACAATGCAATAAACAAAATATTTAAGTATTTTAACTATATAAAAAACAGCAAATATTTATTAATAGACTTTCAGAAACAGTAAATAATTTTTAACGCCTCTAAGAAAGCAGTTTCGTATGCAAGAAAAAATTAAAAACTTTAAATTTAAATTTTATAAAAATAATAAAAAAAATTTCATATAAAAACATAAAAAAAAAATTACAATTTTTTAAAAAAATTTACGCATGAAATTCCCATTTCAAATATTTTTTTGTAACAGATTTTGTTAAAAAAAAAATTAAGAAATAAATATTGATTGAAGAACAAACTGCCTGAACATTTGAAGTACAAGAAACAGAACGATTCAACTTCAACACTTTTTACGCATTTCAGCATTTAGCAACAAATAACGAAAATAACCTCAATGTCATAACAACTGTAGTAGGGTGGTACTGTAACTGGTCGGGTGGGGGTACTGAAATATTGAAATACGTGAATGCACACTGCGGCACAATGCCCCTCTTGAAGCTCTCGCCTCTTGCACGGCCGCCTTGTGCACCCATATACAAAACATACATATTGATATGAAACCAAAATGGACATACGTGTACATACAAACATACAGAGTTCACAGTATGCATATGATAAATATTTATTGTAATTCACTTTCTCATTACACATTACACATTTGACATTTCATATTTTACAATTCCCATTGGTGTTAGTTGAGCGAGTTGGGGAGATTCTACAAACAATTTTGCCCTGAAATTTGACACATTTGCTAAATTTGTAGTTGTTTTTGTTTAACAATTAGTTGAATTAGTTTTAGGCATAAAATCGTAAATTCTCGTTTGTTGTGTTGGTAGTAAGGAGCAGGATTTATATGTTATTAGAGAGTAGACGGAAATATATATGTATATGTTCATATATGTATAGCGCAGAGTGAAGAGTTATGTAAAATTGTATTTTTGTCTTAAATTAATTATAGTATGTGAATATGTCCACATCTACCATGGCGATCACTGTACGCAACAACGCATTAATAATCATTTTTCAATGTTTGACTGTGACATTTTTTTATGTTTTCATTTTTTTCTTTTGTTTTACTTTTTTCTGAATTGGATTTTGATTTAGATGCATACAAGAGAAATGAAAAAAGAGTGTCATTTGGGGAAGAGTAAAAATTTGTGGAAACTTTTTTATTAGAGAAATTGCAAGGGTAGGGGGTCTACTAAGTACATACAAACATACATATTTATTAAAAAAAATGGCATTTTGCTAAAAAAAGAGTATTATTTAATAAAATTTACCTAAAAAATTTTATAAAAAAATCTATTGCATAAATACTAAAGAAAGAAGGAAGGCTTAGAATTTGCTAAAGAGGGGTTACGGCATTCAGCTGGCTGCCTAAAACATCGATTGAGAGGGAAAAAATCTAAACGTTTTTCAAAAGTTGTGTAGAATGTAAAGACAACAATGCACAGTGGTCCATAGCTATTTTCAATTCTTTAACAAGCCCTGAAAACTAAAGTAAGGATGTTATTAGAAACTCTTAGAGCAGCTCATTAGAAAACGATGTTGATTATTATATCTTCAATTCACCATTATTAATACCAAATAAGTACCAACAGAAATTGCCGCAGCTTATTTCAGCTAACTGTGAAGTTACTGTGTTATACCCGTCCATAGCAACCTATCTTATGAGAGTGCCCATACCGTTAGTGCCGGTTGTTCCGCAGAAACCAACGCCGATTTGACTTTTTCCGTAAAACCGGTTCGGCTCATTTTTCGTTGCTATACAAGGTTGCCAGTATAGT